CATTCTATATTGGGCAAGAGTCTTGACTGGGCTGTTTCATTTTTATAAGATCACTTCAACTCCACCTTTTTCTGGGTTCAAGTTATTAAGCATATGGATTTTTATTTAATGAGTAACAAAGAACTGGCCCTCCATGTCTTTAGGTCAGCGTCAAACTATTGCTGCCCAACTTCTCTCAAAAGCCAATCTTAAGAAATATTTATGACGGGCTAATGAACTGCAAACCATAAAATCCTCAAATACCTTAAACGTGTTTAATGGATTAGATCAATCAGAAGCTATATACTTCAATGCATATCTCTGAACAAAAAACTAGCCTTTACTGATGGGTGCTTTGGTATTAATATCCGATCACCCTGTCCCTCAATCACCCCAAAACCAGGAATATCCACAGTACACTTAAGTAAAAAACCTCTACAAAAATGTGGGTGGTCGATCAAAAAATGGGCCAAAGAACTAAACAGACATTTCTCCAAAGATATACAGATGGCTAACAAACACAAGATGCTCAATATCACTCATTATCAAAGAAATGCAAATCAAAACCACAATGATGTACCATCTCATGCCGGTCAGAATGGCTGCTATCAAAAAAGTCTACAAACAATTAATGCTGGAGAGGTTGCAGAGAAAAAGGAACCCTCTTACACTGTTGCTGGGAATGCAAACTAGTACAGCCACTATGGAGAACAGTGTGAGATTCCTTAAAACACTGGAAACAGAACTGCCAGGCGACCCAGCAATCCCACTGCTGGGCATACACACCAAGGAAACCAGAATTTAAAGAGACATGTGTACCCCAATGTTCATCGCAGCACTGTTTACAATAGCCAGGACATGGAAGCAACCTAGATGTCCATCAGCAGGCAAATGGATAAGAAAGCTGTGGAACATATACACAATGGAATAACTCAGCTATTAAAAAGAATGCATTTGAATCAGTTCTAATGAGGTGGATGAAACTGGAGCCTATTATACAGTGAAGTAAAGTCAGGAAGAAAAACACCAATACAGTGTATTAACACATATATATGGAATTTAGAAAGATGATAACGAAGACCCTATACGCGAGACAGCAAAAGAGACACATATGTAAAGAACAGACTTTTGGACTCTGTAGAAGGCAAGGGTGGGATGATTTGAGAGAATAGCATTGAAACATGTATATTATCGTATGTGAAACAGATTGCCAGTCCAGGTTGGATGCATGAGACAAGTGCTCGGGGCTAGTGCACTGGGATGACCCAGAGGGATGGGATGGGGAGGGAGGTGGAAGGGGGGTTCAGGATGGGGAACACATGTACACTCATGGCTGATTCATGTCAATGTATGGCAAAAATCACTACAATATTGTAAAGTAATCAGCCTCCAATTAAAATAAATTTTTAAAAAATGTGGGTGGTAACTGGTTAAAGCAGGTTGCAATACCCTAAATAACACAAAGGGCTGTTGTTTAGTTGCTAAATCATGTCTGACTCTACCTTGCATTAAAAGACAAAATAAGAGCCTCTCCTATCTATAAGAATGTTGTCTATTTTATCAGGATTTGTGAGGAATTTAGGGAGAAAGTTTTCTCAAATCAAAGGTTTGCATTCTTAGCAGCTGGAATATTTTTATTTTATAGACTTTGTGGGTTTTGTATTGATTATCTTGCCTTTGTTTTTACTTATAAGAAACTCGAAGGTGATTTCTTGGATCAGCACTGGTATAAGCTTTAATAAAATGAACTTTCATTAATTAGTTCTCAGCTTACTATTCTACTCTTTCCTACATCTACCTTTTACTTTTTTTTCATCTTTTGGAATTGTTAACACAACATACCCTATATACAAACATTTTTTTTGAAGAAAGAGATTGATGCATTTAACTAAATAGCTATAAACCAACTGTAAGATAAGGCTCCTAACCTCCAGGAACAGAGACAATTTTTTTTAAGTACAATGTTATAACAAGTGCTATAATAGGGTGACAAGGAATAGTGGAACCACTCAGAAAAAGTAGGCATTTCCTCAAAATTAGGGGTGGAGAGGAGGGTTTGCACAAATGGGACTTAATGACTGGGCATATTAAGAACTAGCCAAATAAGTTATTTTCTGATCTTTGATTTTGTGAGGTCACAAGGGTTCAGGTGAATCAATAACTGCTTATCACAGGTCTAAAGGCTTCTGTCAGATCCACCTTCTATTCCTGCCTCTTGACACCTTTTCTTTTTTTTTACAAAGTGAGCTTTTCCCCATATAACAGTTTAGGACCCATAATACTTCCTAGCACTACAAACACTTATTTGTTTTAAATTTTAATGAAAAACTTTAATTTAGTGCACTATCTGCTAACATGGAAAATAGTGTGGGCCCTGTGGAGATTGTTTAAGAACAAAAACAAGCCTTAGAATCAAACAGATAGACCTAGATTCTGATCCCAGTTTCACTGCTTATGAACTTACTTTAGTTCTTCATGTATGTAACAGACACAAAGTTACAGGATTAGGTGGCATAATCTAGCTTTAAATTCTCAAAAATAAAAAAAAGCCTCCCTTTTTATTTTTTTCTTACTAGTTCTTCCCTCTCCCTTTTAATTAACCTTCTCTGTTGTAGCAGGAAAAAGTAGGAGGGAGAAGGAAAAGAATTAGTCAAAGGGAGTATTTTCCTTATTAAAATACTGAAGGAATGGAACAGATATATTTGTTCTATATGTTCTATAACAAAGAATATCATTTGAATGGTATGTAACAAAAAGAACTTGGGTTCTGGATCTGAATTCTAACTTTTGTACTATCTGTTTGACTTAGGTGAGTCATGATCTCCAAAAGTGAGTTACCACTTCCGCAATAAGAGGTTAATACACTTCCCCTATACCTGTAACACAGTTACTGACACTCTTGACATGAGAGAATTATTTCTAGAGGAAGGGCAAATGAGTACAACCTTTCTGAAAAAGAATTTAAAAATACATATCAAGAGCTTTTATATTACTGACCTTTGATCCACGAATTTGACTTCTAAGATTCTAAACCAAAGAAAACAAAGACATAAGCCTATGTATACAAGGGAAAAGAATCTGAAAAAATGTATATATGTAACTAAATCACTGTGCTTTACACCTGAAACTAACACGACATTGTAAATCAACTAGAGTTTCCTTTTTTTTTAAAGCTTAAACTCAAAAATAAAAATAAATCTCAAAAAATAAAGACTGCAAGTGCAAACAAAAAAGATCTGTATATGTAAACAGTAACTGGTTCAAAACAGACCATTTTGACTATGAAGATTTGCATTAAAATAGAAAAATGCTGACAATATTAAGTGGAAAAAATGGAATACAGGTATGTATTAAGATTATTTAAAAATGGGGGGTGATGGTAAGAACACAAGGAAATAACTCCAATTACTAACAGTGGTTATACATTTCACAGTGAATAAAAGGTTTATTCCTCCCTCCCCGTTCCTTTTTTTTATTGCGCTGACATTTTAAAGTCATTTTTGTGTGTCATGATTTAAAACATTTATATATAACCAACATGAATATTTTAAATAATCAATTACAAAAATAAGAGTTTCCTTTTCCGTGATAAATACAAAACATTCATCAAAAATAATGAGCATTCATTTATTCACTTTTCAAGGACATGGGAATGTGCTATATCCAGACAGAGAATGAACTTCTGAGTTCCTAAAATTTTGTCGTCATTCTAATTTGACTGTTTACCACATACCAGGCATGATTCTAGACCCTGGAAATACAGAACAAATCAAAGTGCTTGCTCTCACGTCGTTTTGTGTGTGTGTGTGTGTGTTTCTGCCTATGGGTCTTGATTTCAATTATTTCATCAACTACTATACGAAATTAAGAGTACTAAAACATCAGCCTGAGCGCGGGACCAGTCGTGTCCGAATCTTCGCGACCCCCATGGACTGTAGCCCGCCAGGCTCCTGTCCGTGAGATTTCTCAAGCAAGAATACTGGACTCGGTTGCCATTTCCTTCTCCAGGGGATCTTCCTCACCCGAGGATCGAAAGAACCCGCATCTCCTGCATTGGCAGGATTCTTTATTGCTGAGCCACCTAGGACGCCCTAAGACATCAGCCTACTCAGGTTTAAAACACTGCTTCACACCAAGTCCTTTTTCTTGGCTAGCCAACTGTTCTCTGTGCTTAAAAAGAGCCCCACGTGGTTGAAGCAGCTCATGATAAATAACATCCATTCTTTAAAGCTCAGGCACCAGCAACACCTCAAATCTAGAAAAGCCTTTCCAGTTTAAGGTAGGGCTTTGCCTACATAGTTATTAACTTTTCAAGCAAACTAATGCAGGGAGTATATCGGTCCTCAGGTGTTCCGCAGATACCCCTGGACACCCTTCGAGTGGTTCAGGACCTCCCCCGCCAAGGGGCTGGGGGGGGTGCAGGAAACCACAAGAGAGCTCCACCTGCGAGGAACTCTAGGTCAAGTGTTTTCACTACGGAAGGACCCGCCAGGGCGCGCCTGCAAACCTTGACAGGACGACCGGGGAAATTACTGCATCACTGAAGGAACCTAGGAAAAATCGACTCCTGGAATCTCCCAACTTCTAGCTATCACGACATTCCTGATAGAGCCAGCGGGGGAGAACTCCGCTCTCTTAAAAACAAGAAAAGGAAAGGAAAAAAAAGTTCCACCCAAAAGAGACACACAAGTGGCTTTCCCGACTCAAAAGATGAGTTGCACGGCCTCACTGCGAAGGTCGAGCTCTCATAACCGGCGGTACCACCGCCCGGACGCCGCGACCCCGGCCACAAGGCCGGGGTTAGAGGGAGGCCCACCGACCCGCCGGCCCCGCACTCCCGGGACCGGCCCCCAGGCCTCCCCGCCGCCTCGGGCATGGCGGGCACCCTGGAGGGAGACGCCAAGGCCGCAGGACCCGGGCCGGGTGACAGGTTTATTGCCCCGCGGTGAGCAACGTGGGCTTCTCGTCACCCTCCCAACCCAAACTCCACCCGCGCATCCCTCTGTCGCCCCGTCGCGTACCTGACACACGGAGGCGCGGAACGCCGCGAAGTCCGAGTGCTCCTCGACCTGCAGCGCCCGGTCCCCGAGCTCCGACTCCTTCTCGCGCCGGTCAAACAAGTACACCGTCCTGGGGCCGTCGGCTCCGCCACCCTCTCCGGTCTCCACCGAGGGCCCGCCGCCATCCGCCGCTGCCATATTGGGGGACAGGGAGAGCAAAGAGCCGTGCCGGCGCCTGCGGCCGCCGCGCTGAAAACCTAAGTGCGGGCCCCGCTTGGCGCCTTCAGCTCCAGCGCCCGGGGCAGCGCGAGGCCTCTAACCTGGCGAGCTCAGTTCCTCCCTCCGCGGCGGCGGTGGCCGAGCAGCAGCAGGCTCGAGGATCACCCGGGAACCGATTCAAACGCGCTCCTGCCCGAGCAGCACGTCACTTCCGCGTCCCGCCGCTCCCGGGGGGGGAAGGAGGCGCGCGGCGCGCTCTTCGCAGGGCCAGGACCCGCGCCCGCCGCCGCCCACACGAGCTCGCAGCGCGACCCGCGACCAGGCCAGCCGCCAGGAACTGTGGCGCAGGAGGAAGAGGGGCGGCCGGCGGCGCGCAGGGGGCGGGGCGAAGCCGGCAGGCCGCGCGGGACGGGGCGGGGCTTCGGCGCCCGCCGCCGCCGCTGCTGCTGCCCGGGCCCGGCCCCTTTTACCCTCATGAAGTTAGAGGGAAGCTCGGTCCCTTGCAGGCGCGGACGCTCTGAGCGGGCGATCCGGTCACTGAGGCGGGAGAGCCAGACCCGGGAGCAGCGGAGGGAATCTCCCGAGGGACTTATTTTCTCCCCTCCCAGAGGGTCCTGGCATCTTCCCGCGTCGCCAAGAGCCCCGACCGAACTCGTCCGGCTTCGAGCTCCTGGCGCCGCGACCCCGGCTGCGGCCTCAGGGGAGCGTCAGGGCCGCGGCCCTCGTGGTTGGACCTGCCTCTGCAGCGAGCACGTGGGTCCCCACGCGGAAAGAACCGACGCCGAGAGACCCGGGGCCGTCCTTTCCGCCCCAGAGCCTAGTGGTTTTATGTGGGCCTGGGCGTGGACCCCCGAGACAAAGGGGCCCCTGAGATTCTCCGCACAGAGGTAGTGTGACGTCACAGCCGCTTCCGAGGGTCCTGGCGCCCGACGCTGCGGGCTGCACACGCCTCCCCGACCCGTCGCCGAAACGTGGCTGAGAACCGAGCACGGGAACGCCTGTGCTACAGAGTTGCCAGGAATAAGTTAAATAGTGTTCGCAAAGAGCTTCACATAGAGTAGGCTTCCTATAAAAGCCTTTATTGAGCTTCATTAAATATCCTAATCCTGGTCTGTAGTACCCTAACTCAACGACAAATAAGGTCATTGTTGGAGGACTAGGTTTAGTCATAAGGTCTTAAAAATGTTTAGGCAATACTTTGTGTTTTACAATAACATCCACTAAGACTGGGGGATTTTTTTGATTCTTGAGAAGTTCGGGTAATAAAGTATATTTTCTGTTTTACTGAATTTGCCAAACCCTCATGGTTAATTACGTGGATCGACCCATCTTTAGTGTGCGTGAGAAACAGATAACGCTTGTCCAAATAAAGACCCTCCAGAATCGTAGGGGTGTGTGTGTGTGTGTGTGTGTGTGTGTTGTATATTTGGCTAGACATATAAGGTAGTAAAGATGGAACACACAGTTGGAACAAAAGTGTCAGGGCATGTGTTTGTGAGGGGTGTAAATAATAGGGTTCATGTAGGGAGAATGGAGCAGTAGACGGTGGAAGATAAATAGGGAAGAGGGGTGTTGTGGTCAGATGCCATTCATGTTCCTGAAGAGATAACTGGAGAAGGCTAAGAACAAAGTAACCTCAACTCCTGTGGGATTTCTTTGACCTCTCCTGTTTTAGCTTTCAAAGTCAATTGAACTTTTCATTAGAGGCCATTCCATAATGGTGTTTGATTTAAATGACCAAAAAACGTTTTTCATCTTAATGCTTGTGTGCGTGTGTGTGTGTGTGTGTGTGTGTGCTCAGTCGTGTCCCACTGTCTGCAACCCCATAGACTGTGGCCCACCAGGCTGCTCTGTCCATGGAGTTCTCCAGCCAAGAAAACTGGAGTGAATTGAATGTCAGAAGCAACTTAGCACTTTCACTCGTACATACAAAAATCTAAGTCTTGATTTGTGACTTATTAGTATGAAAAATAACTACATTCTAAAAAAAAGAAGAAAGAAAGAAAAATAACTACATTTTAATGAAAATCATGTTTTATATGTTCATTTTGGGTGATGTTAGAAGAATTGTTTTTTGTTTTCCCCCCCCATCAATAGTACTGGTTACGCTGGACAAATAAAAACTTCCCAATTGCTTCCTTTTTGAGAAAAGAACATTTGCTACATGGTATATTATTTCCTCTGCATTAGAGAACAGCTTTTTTTAAATGTTACAAAAAAATTCCCGTAGTTGTTAATCAGAGTGTATGTTTATTATGTTTAACCCATAATGCCCAGTAACCACTCTGGATTTACTTGTTTCTGCCTGTAGACATAAATGCTTGTTGTTTGAGTTTGGGGGTATTTTTTTTTTTCACATTCACCAAAACGGCCATTTTTTTTTTCACAACCTTGAGTAAGTCCGTGTTCTTTCAGGTCGCTGCCATCCTGAGAAACCTAGGAAACAGATCACCTCAAGCTACACTGAAAATTTTCCTGAAGCCATAACCTTTCACATCAAAGCGATGATTCTGTAATTAATCGGTCAATTTAAATACAAATGATTTAAATAGGGTAATTTAAATATAATGTACACAGTTTATCAGAATTCCTATCTATATCTATGGCCATATAAATGCAACAGTTTACTTGCGGCAATCCCTGAAAGGAAAAATTGCTTCACTACCAACAACATCCCCACTGCTGAGGAAAGAAAACAAATGTGTGTGTGCTCAGTCGTGTCTGACTCTCTGTGACCCCATGGACTGTAGCCTGCCAGGCTCCGTTGTCCATGGGATTCTCCAAGCAAGACTACTGGAGTGGGTTGCCATTTCCTTCTCCAGGGAATCTTCCTGTCCCAGGGATGGGACTCGCTTGTCTTGTCTCCTGCATTGGCAAGCAGATGCTTTACCACTGTGCCACCTGGGAAGCCCAACAAGACAAATGCTGGTGTGTTTAATTAGCCACACAAGGCTTTAATGGGCATTTAAAGTTCCTTCTAGAGAACCATTCCTGCATGAAAATTTGAAATCCTTATGTCATATTAACTAAAAGATCGTGAGTCATGCATGGACTGTCTCTTAGCTCATGAAACTAACCAGTTGATTAGAGACGTTGATGTTTAGGGTACAGTAGTATAAATAAATGTTTGCAATCTTGACTAGTGATCTGCATGTTTTTCCCCTACCCAACCATTCCTTACAGGTAGGCTCATTCTTTTCAGTATATGTGTTACAGCAGAAATCAGGAAAAGCAGTAACTTTGTAGTAATCAGAATGTTGTCCAACTATATATTGCTTACTATATTGTATTGGTGAACAGAGGTCAGTAAATAGTTTCAGATGTTGTAGTTGTTGTTTAGTAGCTAAGTCGTGTCTGACTCTGTGACCCCATGGACTGCAGCAAGCTAAGCTTCCCTGTCCTTCACTATCTCCCGGAGGTTGCTCAGATTCACATTCACTGAGTCGGCGATATCATCTAACCATCTCATTCACTGCCGCCCTCTTCTTTTGCCTTCAGTCTTTCCCAGCATCAAGTTCTTTTCCAATGAGTCAGCCCTTCACATCACGTGGCCAAAGTGTTGGAGCTTCAGCATCAGTCCTTCCAATGAATATTCAGGACTGATTTCCTTTAGGATGGACTGGTTAGATCTTGCTGTCCAAGGGACTCTCAAGAGTATTCTCCAGCACCACAATTCAAAGGCATTAATTCTTGGGCACTCAGCCTTCTTTATGGTCCAACTCCCACATCCATACATGCCTACCAGAAAACACCTTTGAACTATACAGATCTTTGTCAGCAAAGTGATGTCTTTGCTTTTTAACATGCTGTCTAGGTTTGTCAAAGCTTTCCTTCCAAGAAACAAGCGTGTCTTAATTTCACGGCTGCAGTCACCATTCACAGTGATTTTGGAGCCCAAGAAAATAAAATCTGTCACTGCCTCTACTTTTTCTATTTGCCATGAAGTGATGAGATCGGATGCCATGATCTTCAAATAGGAACCATTTATTTGCTCTTGATTCTGTAACTTTGGCTAAGCTTAACTGGGCAATTCTGCTGAATTCACTGTATACGACATGCAGCAGTCACCAGCAGCTTGACTGGGGCTGGATGGTCCATGATGGTCTCACTCACATGGCTGGCAGTCAGCCCGAGCTTGTTAATAAGTGGATCTCACGTTCCTCCATAGGCATCTCTAATAGCATAGTTTGGTTTCCCACTTAAGCTGTCACAGAACCTCAAAAGAAAACGCTCCAATATGCAAGTGCCTGTCAAAGTTCAGCCTGCATCATGTTTTCTGGTGTCACTGGCCAAAGCTAGTCACATGTCCACGCTCCTGAGTGGTCCCCTGCCGTAATAGAGGGAAGTTTATAGAATTCACTTCTAATCTGGAAGCTGGCACTGATATGTGTGTACTGTGATGAAATCAATTTGATAACATATTACAAATATGGTTGGCAGAAAGAAGAGGGGAGTAATCGCGTTAGGATTTGCTGATAAGACTAAATTCCCCCAAAATGAAAACACCTAAAAAATAAAGGGCAAGGAAAGTGCATTCTTAACTACTTCTGTCTTCTCAAATTTATTTTGTAAGTGTGTTTCTTTCTGGAAAGGTAAAGACAGTTTTAGTGACTTGAGTTTAGACTTTGCCAGCTGTATTTCTGCACTTGCTGTAACATATGACTCTAAGACCCCATCTATGGAACTGTTAGCGAACATTTAAGAGCTCCAGTTCCAGTTTTTGGGGTTTTTTTTTAGTTCTACCACTTTGTTGCTACCAACCCATCTCCCTCCACCCTCGTGCACACATGCTCAGTCATGTAATCCCATGGACTTCAGCCCGCCAGACTCCTCTGTCCATGGACTTTTCCAGGCAAGAATACTGGAGTGGGTTGCCATTTCCTTCTCCCAGTTCCAGTTTTAACAAGTTCCCGGCTCTGGGTGGTGAGCCTAGAGGCTCTCCTTTGTCTATATACCCTCTTTAGATCCAGTGATTTCCT